GAGAGAGAGAGAGAGAGAGAGAGAGAGAGAGAGAGAGAGAGAGAGAGAGAGAGAGAGAGAGTATTGGAACATGACATGGTTTATCAACTGCTGGGGTCTTGGCCATCCATATGAATCATACCATGACTGCATGATGATGGGGCACTTTGTAACAAAGTGCATGCGTAAGCACTCCTCCGCACAGAACAGAGCTGCTGAGGATGAGGTTTTAGGTAGGAGTCCTTCCCCTACTGCACATCAGGTAAAGGGGAGGGAGGGATTGATCGTTGAGAACCGAGTCAGAGAGTATTGATCTTGGGGGGTAAGTTTGGTTACAGATCAGGTTGCCAAAGTTCGATTGTCAAGGGTCAAGAGTCAAGAGGGATGAAGGGATGGGTGAAGGAATATGGAAGAAAGACAAACATAGACCAGAGAATGGAGGAAGATGGAGCCTCCATCTGTGAATGCCATCTGTGTCACACAGATGGGAAATACAGTTCGCACTGATTATTACAGGCGGTTGTGACAGCAGGTGGCATCATCATCATCCCGGGCACAGGGTATGCTTATCATTATTAGAGGAGCATCATTCTTAGTGTTCCAGTGGCCGTAATACCAAGAATATTCAGCATACTCCCTAGACACGCAGCGAGAGAGAGAGAGAGAGAGAGAGAGAGAGAGAGAGAGAGAGAGAGAGAGAGAGAGAGAGAGAGAGAGAGAGAGAGAGAGAGAGAGCAGTGGATCCGGCGCATTGCACGGATTGTCATCGGCAGTGGCAGTAGTGTTGTGAGGAAAACCTGCAAAGATGGTGGCGCAGTGCTCAAATGTGTCTCTCAATGAGTCGTTTTCGTGTCGGATGTCTGATCCAGGGCAGCCTGCAGATTTCGTAGTCTTGGCTCTTGTGACGGTTGCATGCATACCGTTCATTGCGGGGAACATACTGCTGCTCATTCACCGAAACTACTTTCCAATTAAGGTGAAGGGGGTGGATCTAATCTTGGCCAGTTCTATTGGGGGTTTCATATGGCTTGTGGCGTCATTTGTTGTGAACAACCACTTTGGGAGGACAGGGGTGCTGCTTGACCTTTGCCCTCTTTGGAGCTTCTGGATGCAACTCTGCTTCGGCGTCTCCTTATGGCTTAACTGTTTTAACGTGCGGTTATTGAATCTCTACCTCATCTTCCGCTGCAAGAGAGACCCTATTACTCCAATATGGCTCCCTCTGGGACTCCTCCAGTCACCGATGATCATCTTCAGCGTCTTCGCTACCGCGTTTCACGCTTGCAGGTATGTCGACGCTACGCCATACATACCCCTTGTTTGCTCTTGTACCTGTACCTTTGCCTATTGCCCTGACCTTGCCTCCCTCTCTGCTGCCTTTACCCAACCGTTATCCGTTCTCATCTTCACTCCAACATAACCTGTGAGTGCTGCATTTTAGTGTCCTGTCCTCTATTTTCATAAGCACTAGTGTATCGAATTCCCTGGTTCATGCTGAGGCCGCCCTGAGGGCATACTCATATTAGCACTTCCGCGGATGTGTATGACCGCTTTTCCCACCTGGCCAGGATGCACCTAACCGTTATTACGTCTACAGAGAAGTGAAAAAAAACTCGTGAGTATGCCCAGAGCCTGTAACGAAGACCCCAGAGAATTTTAGATCTTTGCCCCTGTGAGTGGTGGCTTTAAACGTCAGTGAGTAAGCTTGGGATGACTGGAAAGTTTGCATCTGCCAAAATATGGAAGTCAACGGAATAGACGGACCAGGGACACATACAAGTCACTGAATGAATTGCCACTTTGGCGTAGTCAAGTGGGATGTGGGACTTTGCAGATTCGTGCAACGAGACGAGCACAGATTCTCCGTCCACCCTACCTTATGTATCCGTTAAAACTGTCAGTTTGTGAAAGTGGTTTGGAGGGTGACGAGGTGTCATGAAGTGGCTTCTGAGAACCTGAAGTGGGCATCTGCCGAAATACACATACAAATGTGTAGACGAGAATGGAGGATGCACATGTATCCATAGGAGAGTACTTGAACGAACACAGACCAACAAATAGGGTGTTTACTAGCACTGTGCAATGACCCAGGTGACATGCGGATGGTGTGCGATCAATGTTCATTGTCTCTGTTGCAAGCATTATGATGGTATGGTCCTTGCCGCCGTCTCATGGCCTGTCCTTTCGGCAGAACAGGCCTATGTCTACATTGCTCATATAACGATGGTCGCACTGCCTCCGTGTTTCTAGCATGTGCAAGCCATGTTGTCTCTCATATCTGTCTGCGGCTTGCCATCCTGAAACAGTGTGTGTACCTTGAGAAATGAATGGACGAACTACTTTCCACACGCCACACCCCAAACTCTTCATGTCCTGTCTTTCACTCTGGCCATCTCCTCGAAGCGATATGCTCCCTTCGCCCATGCATTTTCTGCGGCTCAGTCCATCAATCACCTTGCCTTGGTGCTAGTTTTTTGTGGTTTGTGTGAACTGGGGGATGAAGTAGCTTGTTCGTTCCTTGAGCGCCCTTCCCCCCCCCCCCCCCCCCCCCCCCCCCCCCCCCCCCCCCCCCCCCCCCCCCCCCCCCCCCCCCCCCCCCCCCCCCCCCCCCCCCCTCTCCTCTTCATTGCTTCCCTTGGCCTTCTCCTCTTCCTTCTGTTCCATTCCTCCTCTCTCAATGTCTCTTTCCTGCCCTTTAAGGGAGGCGGGTTAGTGGGCACTTATCACTCAAGCACACAGATATAACCGGTCTTTCAGTCGTTCGTTTCAAAATTTTGAGATTTAATAGGATAGCCAAAAAAAAGGAGTAGATATCCCATGAACAAAGTCGTAGCTTCGTCCTCAGTTTGATATGAAGCACGAAAAAGAATTAGAAGGTAATCAAGAGAGCATCCTAAAGTGATAGAAACTTGCAGCACGCAATGATATTAATTTCTGCCTATCTGGATGGAGGAAGAAAAAGAGGGCTGCTCTTTCTTGATTCTATGGGTGTTTGTGCGTGGCCGCTCTCAGTTGCTGGAGTGATTTGTCTCTAAATTTCTCAAACGAAAAAAAATGAAAGGAAAAGAGGGCTGTTAGGTGAATTGCATTATGCCACTCTGCAAATCCTTTGGCCCGGTTCAACTGGCGTGTGGTGTATGCCATCTTGTGGTCATCCTTCCCACAACAGTGCTGGACATGTCTATGCATCTGAACAACTGCCGCCGTGCCTTCGCTTGTGTTTTCGCCTTTCGGCAACATGCAAAGTGTGGAGAGTCTGCAGACTGTTTTCACGAAGCTGTCGCAAACATCATGCACATCTACTGTGTAGACGACGCGTACTGCGCTCACAGCCATCACATGCCTCTATTGTTTTCAGCAATTATGGGCATTCTGGTGTCGATCCTCGTGCCGGTGATCGGCAAAAGTGCCAAAAACATTACCCAGTGAAACTGTGGAGGATGCCGGGTTGTCAACGGTGCCCTTCGTCACTTGTGTGTAGCAAATGTTCGCAAAAGGAGAGGAGAGGGGAGGAGAGGAGAGAGCATGGAGCAGGGGTGAGAGCTGAAGAAGCAAGAGGGGGTGAAAGGGCGATAGAGCAAGTGTAAAAGAACAAAACGTAAGAAGGAAAACGAACGCCCGGCTAAATACAGTGGTATTCATTACTTGGTAGTGCCTCGGCGAAAGGACAGTGCTCTTCGTGGTTTTGACATTGCTGTAACTGAAACTTGATGTTCTTTTTCCCTTCTTGTTCTTGTGCTGTGTCTGCCCCTGCTATCTTCTCTGCTGTGTTGTGTTTGCTTCAGCTATGTTTGTGCTCCTGATTCCATCACTCAGAACACACTTGCAGACTGCAAAATCAATGGACCGGGATGGAGTTTGGGGACGCTGGTAGTACTGGCATTCTACTTCGTGTTGATGGTCTGTCTTGGGATAAAGCTTCGCAACATCATGGCTCCTTACAATGAGTACAGGTAGGGGCCGACTTGACTGCCGTCTTACATACAAAGATGGGAGAAGTGGTGAATCAGACCCCCTGTAGTCATCACAATGTTTTCAAATGGCTCGTTTCTAGTGGTGTTGATGAAGAACACTAGAAACGTTTCTAGTAAACGTTTCTAGTGTTGTTGATGGAGAACACTAGAAACGTTTCTAGTGTTGTTGATGGAGAACACTAGAAACGTTTCTAGTGTTGTTGATGGAGAACACTCGAATGGCTCGTCTATTGTTGAACGACAAGTGTGTGCAGGTGCCACCTTTGGGCCCTCAGATGCTTGGCCCTTGGAGACTCGTGTGTAGATCTCCTTGCCATTCATCCGTGAGCAATGTTGGGGTGATGTCCCGATTTCCTGTGTGATGAAGTCTATCATCTCTTTTCTCATCTCCAATTCGTAATGTACGGAGTTCCTGCAGTTGTTTTTCGAAAGATGTTTAATCCGTAGTTGAATTGTAGACACGCATTCGTCTGCAGGTTAAGAGTTCAAATCCCTCCCGAACGGAGTTATGTGAGAAGAGCATATTTCTGCTGAAAGTTGTCCTGCGTCGCATAAAAGTGGTCTTCTCTTGTAACTCTGTGCATCCAATCCTACATCACTCTGTTGGCTAAACGCTCACTCCACACTTCACCATTTGCAAATTGAGAAGGGGAAATTGGACTGTACTTCTGGACATGGTAAAAAAAACAGGAACGATACAGAGAAGATTAGCATGGGCCCTGTGTAAGGATGACATGCATGAATGGAGACATGGTCCGTCTAAAAGAGAAGGGGATGATGTACTGATTGTGTGAATCATTGGGCTCTCCTGTTTTTCAAAACTTGTTCACAGGTTGATTCGAGAAGGAGCGTTCATACTGTTCTTCTTGGCGGGGGTTGCTATTCAGCGATGCATTCGCTTTGAGGTGGCGGGGCGGGCATTCTTGACTCTGACGGTGGCTTACGTGGTTTTTTATTACTTCTGGATGCGAAACGGACTTGTTGTATACAAGGTGTTGTTTCACAAAGCCGCCTACGAGAAGGAGTTCAAAGTAAGTTTGATGAAGCTTGGCGGAACGCTCTTCTATTTGCACAGAGTATACTAGACAGTATGGGGCTCGCTCCGCAACTCACCAAGTGTGCAAAATGAGAATGAATCTTTCGCCACAATTTGGAAAGATACACCCCCATAACTTTTGCCTTTTGTGCATTCATGCAGTAGTGGAGCCATGCCGTATTAGACATTCCCATGTTTTTGTGCTGTTTGCAAAAAAAAAGAGGTTGACAAAGGGAACTTAACTTAAAATTCTTCTCCTTGCAGCGAAACACGAAACCAAAACGACAAGGAGAAAGAATAGATAAAATTCTTCTCCTTGCAGCGAAACACGAAGCCAAATCGACAAGGAGAAAGAATAGTAGACCCTTCTAGTGGATTCAAAATATGCAGGCTGAAAGCGGAAAGGTTCGAAAAAAACTTCAAAAAGGTTCATTGTTAGATGATTGTGGTATAGGTAAAACGGTACTCAAACCACGATTTCAAAACCTTGAGCTTGAGATTGAACGAAGCCTCGCAAGTTGAATTGCAATAGTCCTGCAAACTGTGCTGTTATCAGTGGTGATTTCCATCATGGCGTGGTAAATTGCAATTAGTAATATATATAGCTTGTGATGGGGTGTGAACCGACAGTCTGTAGAGTTTTCCATCTGGTGTGGGTGAGTGATAGTCAACTTTGATTTTGGTTAAGGTGGATTATCACTTACAGTGTAATCAGTGAGGGGATTCTACAGACTGTTGAGGGTTCAGCCTCCTGATGAGTC